AAGTGTTGCCATCAGTAATATGATCTGCCCTACATTTTTGGATGCTTTCTGAGTTTGAGCCCATCAGAGAACACTCCTATAGCAGCACTAATTTAGAACCTATCCTCCTCTTTTCTGAGATTATTAGCAATTATACAGTGAAAATTATTGGGGGTTTTGGTTTGTTTTTTAAGGGTCCTTTTCTCACATAAGAGCTTCTAATCTGAACTTTATATAATGTGCTCTCTTTATAAAGTCTAGGCTTCAGGGTCACCTGTGCCTATATAGCGTTGCTTATTCTTCAGTCTTTGCAGGTAGGATGGTGATTTTCTTCCAAAGTTCTTGACACCTACATTTCTGCTTCCCAAATGGCTCTTCTCTGTTAGTCAGCGTTGAGCCCAGAACATTAATTCTCCATGTTGCTTTCTGTGCTTTTCAAGACAAGGAGTATTAGCCTGTTGGGATGGTGTGGCTCTGGGGCTCGCAGCGGCTCCTCTTCCCCCAGGAAGATGGAGGCAGATCTCTGAGCCGCCTGCCCTGCGGTCTCCACTTCCTGTACTTCTGCTTGCCTCTGTGCAGCTGTAGCATCTCTTCTAGGAGAAATTGATCTCTGTCTCCGTCTGCTTTCTTGTTTGTCACAGAATAATTTTTCATTCATTTTAAAGAAAATTCTTAACCAAAATAATTTAGTCCATGAAATTTTTCACATCTCAGCTAGTTAAGACCATTAGTAGAGATTAATACATATGTAACAAACTCACAGTGGTCTTTATAGAATAAAAGCTTATATTCTTAAAATTTATCCTATGTATATATTGTTACACTGGCTTTTAATGAAGTGGGAGGGGTGCCTGGGTGGCTCAGTCGGTTAAGCAGCTGACTTCAGCTCAGGTCATGATCTTCTAGTCTGTGGGTTCAGGCCCCACGTCGGGTTCTGTGCTGACAGCTCAGAGCCTGTAACCTGCTTCAGATTCTGTGTCTCCCTCTCTCTGCTCCTCTGCTCCCGCTCTGTCTCTCTGTCTCTCTCAAAAAAAAAAAAAAAAGTTTTAGAAATAAAGAAATGGGACATTTTGGTACCTAATGTTTATTGAATCAAGTGCTGAGAATATTGGTTATGGTGCATGATTTTAAACTTCTTTTTGAAACATGAAATCCTCTTTTATTTAAATAAAAGATGTTGGAAAGGAATAGTGAAATCCTCCAAATTCTACATAGGTGGAGCAATTTTGGAAATTACTGAGAAGCTTACCTTGTTCTAAAACTATAGTAGATATACCCTGGGCATGTGGCAGAGAACCTGAGACCGCCCCCGGGTTTGAGGATTTGCTAGGACTCTTAGGGCTCAGCATGTGGTCCTGCTCCCCTCACGACTCTGTTACAGCCAAAGGATACAAAGCAGAATCAGCAAAAAGGGGAAATGTGCACAGAGCAAAGTCTGGTGGGAACCAGGCTCACGTTCCAAGAGTGCTCCCAGTGGAGCCACACAGGACAGGCCTGATTCCTCCGGCACCAAACGGTGACCACGCTGTGAAATGCTGTCTCGTAGGAAAGCTTACTAAGGACCCAGTGCCCAGGGATTTCACTGGCTGCTGGTCACATAGACACCCTCTGCCTAACACATCCCCAAATTCCAGACTCCCAGACAGAACGTAGGCGTTGAGCATAAACGGCACTGCTGGTGCAGTACAGGCTCTGTGACCCATACGGATCAGTTCTGGGAATGGTGGGAGCCCTCCCCGCATCCAAGCTGCCAGCCGCCAGCCGGGGCCAGCCATCGTGGGCCAGCTCCGTTGCCCTCGTCCGCACAGGACCTCAGCGTGTTCTCAGGGCAGAGGGAGTAAAGAGATGAACAGAGGGAGTCAAAGCAATTTTCGAGTTGCATCTAGAGGTCTGGCTAAAGGCTTAGTTTATTCATGCACATCAAAATGACCAGTTCTGAAATTCAGAAGACGTAAAAATGACTGCCCTTCAATATATTTCTTAATTGATATAAAATTCATACATGAGGAAGATTTTATTCATACTTTTAGCAGGGAGCCAGGCCTGCAGTCGGAGAAACCACCGACTTTGCAAGCAGTTTTTGCGTATTAAGCAGTCCCTTGGCATTTGTGAACCTCACCTTCAGCTATTTAGGACCAACCCCAAAGCCCATGAGGTACCAATTGGTAATTTTTCTGAGACATAAACGTGAATCAAATCCCAAAGCCTTGGGGCGCCTGGGTGGCTCAAGTCAGTTAAGTGTCCAACTCAGCTCAGGTCATGATCTCCCAGTTTGTGAGTTCAAATATCGGCTCTGTGCTGACAGATCAGAGCCTGGAGCCTGTTTCAGATTCTGTATCTTCTCTCTCTCTCTCTCTCCCCCACCCCCGCTCCCCTCTCCCCCCTCCCCTCTCTCTGCCCTTCCCCATTTATGTGTGTTCGCTCTCGCACTCTCTCCCCCTCCCTTCCTCGCCGAAAAATAAATTAACACACAAAAAAACCTGCAAAGCCTCTATAAGCGGTCAGTCGTAACTAGGCTGCCTTGTGAGCCTACTCTCTCTGCGTTTTAATATTATTTATTCTTATTATTGCAGCACGACTCACCTGCTAGTGCTGGTGATGCAAGTAAAATGTTCTGGGAAGGTAGCCAGAGAACAGAATGTTTGGTTAAACTGAAGAGTAGAATTTGACAGTCTTCCAGATGCATGACATCCTAACACCATTTGGAAACAAGTAAACAGGGTTCGGGCAAGCACTCAGAGAGTGTCCCTGTAATACACAGGTTGCCCAGTAAGCGAGCAAGCAAATGAAAAGTGATGGCTAATTTACGTAAAATGGGCACAGGAAAACATGGCCGCGGACTTCGGGGAGAAAGCCAGAGGCATGTACACCTGATTCTCTGAAGGTCTCAAAATCTTCAGAGAGGAACGAGACTTCAGGGTTTCTTTTGCACAGGCATTTCATTTGTTTTTGTTTTCACCAGGTTGCAAGGGCATCACGTTATATAGATTTGAGTCCGAAAGCTTAAATATTCTGGGCTATAGCTGATTTTCTCAGTGATTCTACTGAACTTCCTCCAAGAAGACAGCAGTGCCCAGGCGGTAGTTAAAAACAGCTCCACTACTGGATATTTACCCCAAAAATACAAAAGCATTAATTCAAGAGATGCGTGCACCCCTATGTCTATTGTGGCATTATTTACAATAACTAAGATATGGGAGCAGCCCAGTGTCCATCAATAGATGGATGGATAAAGAAGGTGTGGTATATATGCACACATGCACAGGCACACATGTGCACACATGCACAATGGAATACTACTCAGCCATAAAGAATAAAATTGTGCCATTTGGAGCAACATGGATGGAGCTACAGTGTATGATGCTAAGAGAAACAAGTCACAAATACCATATGATCTCTTTCATCCATGTAGAATTTAAGAAACAAGCAAAGGAAAAAGAGACAAACCAAGAAACAGCCTCTTAGCTATAGAGAACAAACTGATGGTTGCTAGAGGGGAGGTGGGTGGGGGGATGGGTGAAATAGGTGATGGGGAGTGAGGAGGGCACTTGTCCTGAAGGAGCACCAGGTAATTTATGGACATGTTGAATCACTATATTGTACACCTGAAACTAACACAACACTGTATGTTAACTACACTGGAGTTAAAATAAAAATGAAAAGAAAACACAACCCAGCTCCATTGTCTATGGATGTGATTTTCATAAATTGTGGAAGTCTAATATATATGCAGTTCTTTCTTGTTTTATGAAGTTTTTTTTTTAACAAATTTTGTTCATTGTCACGTTAGTTAAATGAGAACTCTGTTACCCAGTGTTTCTTTCATTAGTACCCTAAGAGAGCTGACTGATATTAGCATGAGATGTTTCAGAGAACACTGTCAGATAAATAAGTACCTTCCTCACTGACCCTTGTGCTATTTGCAGATATAAAACTTACCTTGCCTCAGATTTTAGCAGAACAGGCTTCTGTAAATGACCTAGAAGTAGCATCTTTTGGGAGACGTATAGGACTATCAAGTACCTGCACAGGTGGCCCTTAGCTATCTTTTGTTCCTTTATTGTTATTTTTTTTTTTTTAAGCTCTACAGCTAGGGTGCATCTACTGAATTTCTTCCTTTTTGTGAGACAGAGGAGACCGAGAATACTCAGCAATAGGATGATAACCTACATAACATTTCTTAATGCCGTCTTTCAGTTAGCTGTTTCCCTACCAGTTAACTTTGCCAGTGCCCTTCCTCATTGGCAGGTACTTAACTGCTCTGTGGTTAATATTCATTTTTATTAAGTAACTGCTCAGCAGTTATTACTGAAGCACAGTTTATATATTTATTCTCAAGGTTCATTTTCTTTTAAATAAAACACAGTATTTGAAACACCTAGATTTCTGTCAGCATTTACCTTTTTTCAAATGCAATTTACAAAGCAATTAGTGGAAATTCAAAGTGATTTCTAGTTTTACAAAGATACTGCTTGCTTAAGACCTTGTATTAACCTAGGTAGGCAAGTGCTAACTGCGGTATCCCTTATTTACTTGGTGGATATAGGTTAAAGTGAATTATTGTAAAAATAAAGAAATCTAAAAGGTATTTCTTAATAGAATAAGCTTGAAATTAATTGCTTGATTTCATGTCTTTTGTCACTAAAGAACTCAAATAGTAGGAATGTTTCTCTGAAGAAAAATTTTTTAAGTTTATTTGAGAGAGACAGAGACAGCACAAGTAGGGAAGGGGCAGAGAGAGACAGGGAGAGAGAATCGTAAGCAGGCTGCATGCTCCCAGCACAGAGCCTGATGCAGGGCTCAAACTCCTGAAACCGTGAGATTATGACCTGAGCCAAAACCAAAACCAAGAGTTGGATGCTTAACCTATCAGGCCACCCGGACGCTCCTGAAAAAAATTCTTTATTCTTTTTTATGTTCTCATTTAAGCTGATACTTTCTCATTTCATCTCATGTTATATGTTAATATAATAATATAGGGTACTGTGTTTATTGTATTATTCTTTTTCTTCCTCTTTAAGACTCAATGATGAGGCACGGCGGCTCATTGCTGAACTGGGGAGCACATCTATTACTAATCTTGGTTTTAGAGACAACTGGGTCTTCTGTGGTGGGAAAGGCATCAAGACGAAAAGCCCCTTTGAACAGGTTAGTGTCTTAGATTTTCAAAATTAATGGACAAAAATAAATGTGAAACTATGCAATGCATATTCCTATCCCAGTTATTTGAAACTTAGACAAAGCAGCCATTAAATATTTTCATATATTTTTCATAAGTTCTTGGTAATCAATTATATGAAATAACCATGGCACTGTTTTAAAATCCAAATTTTTAAATAGAAAATTTTTTCCTATATGACAGTGCACTGGCATGTCAGTACTTTTATCAGGACCATTAGGAAGCATCGACTACTAAGGATTTTAATTGAGCTTTTGACACTATAATCAGTTAAGTTTAGAAATACAGTAGAACTTAGAAGAATGTAAACTTCACTTTTTGACTAACAGACGATCCTTTAGAAAACTTCTTTCGTTTCTTTTTTTTAATTTTTTTCGTAATGTTTTTTATTTATTTCTGAGAGCGAGAGAGACAGCATGAGCAGGGGAGGGTCAGATAGAGAGGGAGGCACAGAATCTGAAACAGGCTCCAGGCTCTGAGCTGTCAGCACAGAGCCCGATGCGGGGCTCCAACCCACTAACCGCGAGATCATGACCTGAGCCGAAGTTGACGCTCCACCAGTTGACTAAGCCACCCAGGCGCCCCTCCTTTAGGAAACTTCTGCAGTGTTTTGTCCTTTCGGCCATTTGAAGGGCTGCCAGACCCCCGGGGCGGCTCATTGATGGTGTGGCACAGCAGTTGGCCATGCACTCGTCATTGACGTGAGTGTCACTGAAATGAGTGCACTAAAGCACGTTACTGTAAAGCCATTCATACAGCTTCTTAAACCTGCATCTGCTTGTATTCCAACAGCACATCAAGAACAATAAGGACACAAACAAATACGAAGGATGGCCCGAAGTGGTCGAGATGGAAGGATGCATCCCCCAGAAGCAAGACTGAGGCAGAGGAAGTTGAAGGAGACGCACTTTGACCATTAATGACGGAGCTGTGACAGAGAAGCTATGTGTAAATACTTTAAGAGCATGCAGCCATCTAGGTGTGTGCATGAGCATTATCTCTTTTGATATCAGGATTATTTATTGCTAACGTAAATAGATGCCTTTGTAAATAGTCATCATAATGAGCAAATCACTGCACCATTTCTAAGCACATTTCCATAATAATAGTACAGGGGTTAGACTGCTACAGTAATGACATCTTTTAATTCTACAGGCATACCCAGTGGATAACTGAACCGATTGTGAAAAATATATTGATATATATACTGGTTGCTGTGAAAACCTATCATGGAACAATATGGATTTTAGGGAGGAAACTTTGTTTTCTTTTATATACATATCTATATCTATATATTTTGCTTTTTAATGATAGTATCTTTTAAATTAAAAAGATATTTGGCTAGTTGTGTGTGTAATGTTACTTTACAGTCTGACTCTCTGCTTTACTTTTTTTCTTAGTCTTTCTCTTCCCAAAAAAACCTAGAAATAAAGTGATATGAAAAGCTGTTTCAGATATGTGAAAAGCACATGCAAAAAAAATTTTTTTTTAATATATACAGTAAAAATGTACATCTGGAAATGTAGATGGTATCCAGGACTGTAGTTTGCTGAGCTTCGTGTTAGCAGTGTGAGTAACCACCTCGCAGAAGCTGCTTAGAGCAAGACTGGGGGAAACAGCCCCACGGAGCTGGGGAAGCTGGCCATGTCCCTTGCCCATCCCAGCTAGGCGGTACAGGGCAGCCGGGTGGTGTCATTGAGAGTACCGCCGGCATAGATTTCCTTATTGAACTGTTGTCAGCATTGACCAAGTAGTTTGGAAAGAGGCCTGCTTTAATATCACAATTATTTTGATGATCAGCCAAGAAATATAATTCTGTATTTACTTCATCTAACTTCATAATAGCAATTTATGTCTGAAGATATAGGGACTTAGAAAAGTCCTAATTAACTGAGTGGAGTGATACCATTGAAAAATAATTTTATTTGATCCCAGATGACTTCATACTCCATTCTCCATAAAATCTTGTTAACTTGAGATGTTCACTAAATGACTCAAGGTGTGTGTGCATATATATATATGTACATACCTATGTATGCACATATATATACATATATATGCGCACACACATATACACATACTCATACTTTTAGGGTGTTAAATACAATTATGCATGAAGTAAACTGGAACATAAATTAATGATCAAACTGCTATTCACAGTAAAAGGCAACACTTAAATTTTGAATATAAATTTTAGATGACTTGTATAAAAAAAACTAAAGGCAGTATTTTTATTTTGCCGTAAACCAACTTGAAAGCTATTCAGCTCTTTCTTAAATAATAATGAGCTTTGGGGTATTGGTTCTTCTCAAACTGAATGTAATTCAAGAATAAATGCACCTTATACATTTAAAGAATTTTTGTAAATTTTTCAGATTTCTGGTGCTCATGTGCTAGATCACGTCAGCATGTATATTTTGACATTTAAAATACTTCCCTAGATTATGTAAATTAAAAAGAATAGCTATTTTCTAGTTCCAGGAATGGTGAATTGATGTTGTATTTTTGCATTTTTTTTTTAAATAATGGAAATACTCTCGGTTTCGCATTGTGAATTGTTTTGTTGTATTATCTGGCCACGTAACGTACCTACAGAGCTTCACAGTAATGTTTGTCAAGCATTTATTGTACTGCTCAGCGTGGAACATCTAAGACATTCCTGTGCTCGAACACACTGATTGATATCCTCAGGACCTGTGTATACAATTCAAGTGTCCAGATGGCAAGACTCCCTTTCAAGGTGAAAAGTGTGAAGTGACAGCTTTGCGAAGTTCTACAGAATGTCACAAGGAGGGACAAAGATCTGTTCTGTGGCAGCGTCGGTGCAGTTCGCTTTCGTTTCACTTCTCTCCTGTATAGATGGTGCCAACATTGGAAGCAATAATTTTCCCACACTTTATTTTCAGATATCTTGTAAAAGTCTGCATTGTAAATGTAACAATGTTCATTTCATGTTAAGAATTTTCTTTATTAAAATCAGAAATTTGGCATTGACATTTTGGTATATTAAATGGTGTATAAGGACTTTGGGATGCATATTTTTTATTTGAAATCACAAATCTTTTTTTCCAGAACAAGTGTATTATAGTATGCCTATTAAAATTAAGCGGAGGCAATAGGAAAATAATAATGATATTGGGGAATTAAAGGAAAATTCAGCCAGAGTCTTTATATTCCTGACTTGAAGTTGATTAAAGTTTATCATTGTTCTGTCTACATTTTGTATTTGTTTCAAAAATGAATCAACTAATATCTTATTATGCCAGATGAAACTCAAAGCATTTAGCCTGTATTGCACTTTGTACTTCAACAGTTTTTACAAATTCTAATTTGAACCTCTCCCCAAAAGAGAGGATAGTTCAATTCAGTTGACATACCCCGTTATTGACTGAAGGAATGAGAAATGTGCTGTGTTCAGTTGGAATATGAAGAGTAGAAATGCGTGTAGAATACTTTTTTAAATGAATAGGAAAGGAACAATTGCTTGTGTTGATCAGGGAAAAAGATTTCCTGCTTACCTTCTTCCGTGAGGCCTTAAGTACATGTAAATTAACAGTTACAGAGTAACATGCCAGATTTTACCTTTACTTTTAAAAAAATGTTTATTTTTAAGAGAGAGAGCGTGCACAGGAAGCAGGGGAGGGGCAGGAGAGGCAGAGAGAGAGAATCCCAAGGAGGCTCTGAGCTGACAGCAGTGAGCCTTACGCAGGGCTTGAGCGCACAAAGAGATTATGACTTGAGCCAAAGTCAGACGCTCAACCAACTGACCCACCCAGGTGCCCCAGATTTTACCTTTCCTAAAGCACCCCTCAGAATTTTGCTGCCTCTTCCCAGCTTGGTTTTTCTGTCACATACTTGGTTTTTGATTGTCACATGCCAATAGCTAGTTAATCCCATTCCCCTCAAAGCTCCCTTAGTCTCACTACTGTCCTGCCTCTGGTCTCTCCTCCCCCACACCCTCTTGAGGTTCCTGTCAAATCAAGGCTAGCTAGAGCAAAAAGCTGGCCGGCCTGGCTTGGGAGTCGCAGTCTTGCTAGGCAGCTTGAAGGAGCATTGGGAAAGCCATCCGGCAACCTACGACACTTCCTCCACAGAACCTTCCTGCAGTCCGGTGAGGGTGCAGACAAACTGGAGGGCAGCTATATTGAGCAAATGCTTTCAACACTAGGCTGTCTCTTTGGAAAGGAAAAGGGACTGGCTGATCCTTCAGTTAGAGACAGAAGAAAGGCTTCCCTTGGCTTTCTTCCATGGGCAGTTTGTAAGCAAACTTAAGACGAAGATCATCTTCCCGGTATGGCTAGTTCACTGGTACATCTTGCCGCCATTACTAAAATTGTTTAGGGTCACCTGGCTAACTCATTCACTAGAGCATGCAGCTCTTGATCTGGGGGTCTGTGAGCTGGAGCCCCACATTGGGCATAGAGATTACTTAGAAAACAAAACAAAACTCCCTGTTCAGCTCTGCATAAAGTATGCCCATCACTAGAGCGCACTGAACACTGAAAGAAGTTGAGACAAATTGGTAAAAGGGGGGGTGCCTGGATAGCTCCGTTGAGTGTCAGACTTAGGCTCAGGTCATGATCTCAAGGTTGGTGAGTTTGAGCCCCATGTCAGGCTCTGTGCTGACAGCTCAAAGCCTGGAACCTGCTTCAGATGCTGTATCTCCTCCTCTCTGCCCCTCCCCTGCTTGAACTCTGTCTCTCAAAAAATAAAGGTTAAAAAAAATTTTTAATTGGTAAAAGTCCTATATTTGGGAAAAATAGTTTATGAAACTGTAATCTCATAATGTTTCATGTAATCAGCCCATATTTATTTCGCTCAATCACCAGAGAGATAAGGGGCCCAAAACCTTAAGGAATGAATTCTGTAATGGAGAGAGTGTAGCATACTGGTGGAGAGTACAGACTTGCTGACTACATGAGGAACTTGAGAAAGTCATATTCTCACTACCGTGAGGTAGGGATAGTACCACGTGTTTGTGGTGCCTGCCCCGGTGCCTGGTACACACGAAACTGCTGGCACCCTCTTGCACACCAGCATTGCTTCTTGCTGTGGCCTGTGGACATTCTTACCCACTAGCAAGGGTCGCCTGGGCCGGAGAGGAATGTCTTGAATGGATTTTGAAACGTTTTTTTTTTTTTACTTTCTGATACCAACTTTTTCCTTACAATAGTAAACTCATTATTTGAACTTTATACATTTGACTTGGGAACACTTTTTCTGCAATGCCTTATGCCTTCATGTGCTGTCCTGCTGCTTGGATCTGGCATCCTCGGATGGACATGCTTTCAGTACGGGGGCTGCTGAATTCCCTGCCAAGCCATCTTAGCCTCAGGGTCACCAGCGGAATGGCGAATGGAACTGCCCTGTTTTCTGCAGGCAGATCGCTCGAAGCTGAGGAGAGGACAGGCCGACCTCTGGAAATCAGGTTTTAGCGAAGAGCCCAGTCTCAGTCTGAGAAGTTCTCCCATCCTAAAACTTCATGTGAATATTTTGGTTTATTTTATCACTTACAGATGTTCATTTGAACATAGAAATCTTTTCAATTATTTTAAGTTTCAGCTTCCAAAAATGTCTAGCTTCTGCATTCCCACGTGTGCCGGGAGCCGGACTGGAGAAGAGCTGTGCGCAGTGTTGGACCAGAACAGAAAGGAGCCCTGAGGAAAAGGTCTTGCAAGTCCAAGCTCGGAACAGAGGCAAGATTTAGAAGCACATGATTCTGAGAGCTGTAGTTAGAAGTATGTTTTTCAGTTGATGGGGAAGGCGGTGGTGCCTGAGAGTTGAGGTTCTCAGAGGTAGGTGAGGTGGGAGAGTCAGCGGGTGAGAATTTCCTGAGGTCTGAGGAGCAAGCTCCGGGCCCTGGTGCCTCTCGCTGGCTTTCCGTTCTCGCTGAGGGAGGGGACCCAAGGTTTAACATCAGTAAATGAGCTTGTACTCCTATAGATATCTGAAACTTTTTTTAATGTTCATGTATCTATTTTGAGAGAGAGAGAGTGTGTGTGTGTGAGTGGGAGAGGGGCGGAGAGAGGGGGAGAGAGAGAATCCAAAGCAGGCTGTGTGCTATGAGTGCAGAGCCCAACATGGGGCTCGGTCTCAGGAAGCGTGAGATCATGACCTGAGGTGAAACCAAGAGTCGGAGGCTTAACCGACTGAGCGACCGAGGTGCCCTGAGATCTGAAACTTCTAACCCAGGAACGAGGTTGGAAGCCAGTTCTTGTGGAACTATTAACAACTTGCAAGGGAATGTTAAAATTCTCTTATGGAAATAATCTGTTTGGAGGAGGCTCCCGATAATTCTACAGCATTGGGTGTGTCAGACATGGACACAGTTACAGTTGTGACAATCAAAATTGTAGTTCCCTATTTAGTCAACAAAGTTCAAAGTGGTTTCTCAAGAAATGATATATTGAGCATCTGGGGGGGAAGGACAAGTGTTCAAGCTGGCAAGAGGAGAGAATTTCTCATTCTGGGTTGTGAAATTTATCTTTCAGCTTATAAACTTAATTTGTCCATACCCATTAAATAGAGGGCATGTTAAGGAAGTTTTATCACATTCACTTTTTCAGGTTCCCCGTTTTGCTGGCTTGCCTCGTATAAAGCCGTAGGGAACAAACATTGGTAGTCTACTGAGGAACTTGAGATGAAGTACTTGCAATGGATAGGCCCTTAAACTTACAGAATGTTACATGTCAATTATATCTCAGGAAAGCTGTGGAGGGGGGGAATAAAAACGAAACAACTTACAAAAAAAATACTTTTTTTTAAAAAAGAAAGGTCGGGATTATGTACTAGAAACAAATAATTACTGACTTAACATTTTGTATATTTTTACCTTTAATTAATGAAGAATTAGTAATATTCCCCTTTTATCAAAGAACAATTAAGGACAAGGGGCCACCTTAATTCTTCTTGGCTAACATGACCGACTGGATATGGCATGATTACGGGAGGTTTGATTGTTAGTAGCGGACAAAAGGGAAGGCTCCTTGGCCTGTGTGGAGGGGAGACTCTCCGAGAGTTCAGAACAGCAATCAACAGAGGGAAGCAGACAGCCCTATATCCACCACTCACACACAAGTCAGGCTTTCACTTAACTCTGCAGATTAAAAAGTCACATACGAAACTGTGGTTTGTGTTGACTTGGTCCACGTTTATTATTACTTTCCCTTTACAATCAGTAGGAGAGTCTACTTTTTCAATTCTAATTTTGTTTCAAGCGGTTTTAATCATGCAAACCACCTCTAGTGGTTTTCCTTTGGATGTGAATGTAAATTGTTACCAATGGTCAATTTCACCCATGTATTAAAAATGACACCTTATGTAACAATTGGCTGTAAGCACAACAATGGAAAGGATGTAAGTATTTATTTAATGTCACACTAAATTAGTTTGATCTTCACCCCCAGTCATTTCGTTTTGGAATGATGTTAGGTGCTTGCATAATCCGACTGTTAGCCCACACTGGGATCCAAAATAGCAGGCGATTTAAATCACTTTGAGCTTAGAAATCAAGAGGCAGTGTCTTTTAATTCTATTTCATGGTGAATTCTAAGATCTTGGTTCTTCTATCATCTCTCTACTGCTCTTCAAACAGGTTTATATAGCCAAACCATGAAGAAACATCCTGTAATTTTCATTATATTTACAAAGGCCCCAAACTCTGGAAATAGTATACTGTAAACTCAATGTGTGACAGTGTTGATGCTGTGTGAGGCACAATTCCACATGGTGGTGAAGGGCACAGACTCTGACTAATACATAGGAGTTACTTAATGCCTGGTACACTGTAAGAGCTGTTTGCTATTATTTTCTATTTCAAAGGAAATGAGTCCCTGGTGTACAGTCATGTCCCCCTTTCATGCTGCACCACATGCATTTGTCCTTCTCAGCTCACCTAATCAGCCTACTCCGAGAAATGTTATGACTCATCACATCTGGTCTATAGTGAAACTGAAATTAAAAAAAAAAAAAAAATCAAGGCATCTGAGCCAACTTTCCTTAAGAAGGGCTTGCCCTGAGGAGTATTCCTGGTTCCTGGAGATTGGACTTGAACTTTTCTTCCTTCAAGTTAGCTAAGTGGATTATAGTACTCTGGATCACTAACTAACTGGCTCCAAATGGTTGGTTTAACTCCATAGTCTCTGGGCCTTTGGGATTTGATGCAACAAGTTCCAACAGCTCATCAAATTGCCTATAAGTAAATATTTTGATGGGAAGCTTTTCCGGTTCCACATTTTAAACTAAGTCAAAACCAAACATACCAGTACTGACAGTACTTCAGAAAGTCAATGTGTGTTTCTAAAATATCTACTGTGAATATCACCTGATTACAAAGCTGCAAAAACAAAGGGTCATAGCATCTTAGATAATTAAATTCTGTTGTTATTCTAAATATAGCTATCCTAGTTCTTTAAAAACAAAAGTCTATCGACTATCATCCAGATAGTGAATAAGGAAATAATGCAGTTGTTTATAGTCAAACAAGTTAACTCATTTTTTACTGTGTTGTAAAGTACTACTACCAGGGAAAGGTTTTAATTAGCAAACTTCTTTATCAAGAGGTTACAGACAATGCCATTTGATGTGGTTTTTTTTTGATATCATTTTCAGACAATCATCATTGCCTCTTACCACTGCCTGTATTAAGCATTTCCCAACTTACAAAATAGTTGAGCTCCTAAGCTGAAAATTAATACACCAGAGCACCTCCCTCTCCTTTCCCCCTCTTAACATCATAAAGGACATTTAAACAAGTGAAGGCTCTTTGTACCCTATACCTAATTCAGAGTGCTTTGTCTGTCTGGAAGCCTCACCCAAGTGCTGCCAGAAAGCTGTTAGCAAAACACACCACTGGAGCCGAGGACATCTAATGTCTGCGCTGCCCAGGACCCAGGTACCTTTTAATGCTAACCTAACACCCTGGTTTTCCTCTGCGGATTTACCCCTATCCTATTCTCAAGCTATGTGGGTTTAGTTGGAATGAATCGCTCACTGCCACGTTCCACCCTGGATCTTTCATTGCCTTAAACCATCAGTGTATTTACCCCCTAACCCTAATGTCCAAAGACCACTGTGATAGGTTCCCGGATGGACATATTAACCAATCAGAGCCAAAGAGTCTCAGAACTACTTTCGCTGGGCATTTTGTGAAGGAGTAGGAGAAGAAAAAGTTGTCCATTCTCCTGTAGGAGCAACCAAACATCTCTCGTTCCTTAGAATGAATGGTAGAATGTAAGGTCTGGAGGGAGTGTAGCAGCCATTTAGCTAAGAAAAAGGAGAGCCTGGGGCCACTGGGAGTGGCATGCGGTGGTGAGGGTCCACCCCACCTTGTGGCGCCTGAAGTAGAAGGCAGCACTGCAGAAGCCAGCCCGTTTAGGCTGGAGCTGGAAAGACCTGAACCGTGGGAAATAGTGGTAAGTTTTCCAACCAAGCTTAACGGGAACCTGTCTGGACTCTGGACTCTTCAGTTACTGAATCAATGCATTTCCTGTAACATTTGTCAGTCTGGGTTGCGTCATCTGTTACAACATGAAGAGCCCTAAACAGTGCAGGCAAAATAGCCTAGACTGAGTAGGAACATCTGGGCTCCACAACTTGTATTCCCGAGAGCACCACAGTGCTACCTGTAGCATGGCGGGGAGCGGGAAGAAAACAAGCCGAGTCCAGGTTGTCCGTCAATAAAACTGGTGAGGAATTCAAGAATAGCTTCCACAGTGATGCCAGGGAGGAGAAGGAAAAGAAGAAGCCGAAGACACAGCTCTGGAGTTAGGAGAGCCTGCCCAGGCATCCCATAGAAGAGAGTCTGAGCTGGCATCACTGTCTTCAAGCAATGGCTGAATAGTAATCAGGTGTTTGGGAATTAGAGGCTGCCTGGTTCTACCAGTTGGTTGGCAAGGTAACTATGAAAAGCTGTCTCGTAATAGAAGAAATTAGTTGTTAATGTGAAATATCCTTCATCTTAAAAAACAAAAAGAGTGCTTATTTTAATGCAGACAAAATAGATTTACTGTGCAAAAAAAAAAAAAAAAGGCATCAAAATAAGTATCTTTCTTTCAGGCTGTTCTAATCAGTGATGCTAAAGATTGGTAAACCACTCTTTTAAATAAGTACTATATTTATTCAATTGTCATTTCTTAGTTTCTCATTTTTAATAATATTTCTTTGTTAAACTGTAAGGGTCACAATGAAATGTTTAGCCTTGAATTTAATATGAAGCCTGAGACATTTTCCTTGGGTTTGTTCTTTTTCGCAAATTATTGCTCTGCCTTGGGAAATAAGATTGAAAGGAAATAGGATGAGACTTATGGGCAAGGAAACATTTCTTTAGCTTATTATTAGAAAAGGAATATTCTTGTCCTTCCTGAAGTTAGAAGTTTTTTCCTATAGAATACTGAAATAGTTAACAGTTCATAAAAAACATAAGCATCTAGATTAAAACGCAGCCTTAAATAGAGCCCTGTAATTTTTACCAAGAACTTGTAAAATATGATGAATTATACATGCATGAATACTAAACTTAGACCATTCAACATTCACATGGAAATGCAGCATTACATACAATATAATAAATATCCAGGATATCAAATACACAAATTGACCAATGTTTTGATTTAGATTCTTTTATCCAGTTAACACTTTTACTGCATAATTTATTATAATAGCCTAACAAGTTAAACATAACTAATTAAAAGCAGAACTTAACTAATCTGCTGAAATAACACAATCCTCAATATCCTGCAGCATATTTTAATCTATAACATGTAAAACTGTCATTTTGACAAGAAAAACATATCCATATAACTAACTGCTCAATTAACTTCTTTTTCAATGTTTAAAAAAAGTCAGAGTTAATAGTATGAAAAGAAACAGAAGCTAATCTTATTTCTGAGATAATTTTATTACCTTAGCTCTTGGGCTTTGGCAGTAAATGTCTTAAGTTTTAATACATATCATCATATAACTTAAATACTGTATTTACAAAATATATAACTTTTTTTAGCAAAATACTGTACAAAATACTGTCCTACACATTTAAAAGGTGCTTTCCCTTACGATGTATGAAAGCCCTTTATGTTTTTACCTTTAATTTTCCCATGTGCTTTCAAGATCCCTCTCTTCTCCATTATTTCAGAGCTGGGATTTTAAAGTAGAAACTTCTACAATTAAAGAATAAAGCCAAAGATAAAAGATTGCTGTATGTCTCACTGAGATTTTTCTAGATAAACTCTCCTAGTTAAAAGGCACTTAACATCCAAATCATACATTTTACGTTTCTATGTTTAGATTCTTCCCTTTTGTCACTAAACATCTTTAGCAAACATGTTTTAGGGATACTGTATCTGTTATGAAAATTCTTTTTAATTGCCCTCCTTTTGAAATGCATGGAAGGGTGAGTAAGCACCTTCCACTTCTGTTAACTTTTCAAAGTCTGTTTCTATGCACGGTATGATTTCTTCATCTAAACTACTGAGAGAATAAATGAGATCATGTTTACTGTTCCTTGCTGCTTTATAAGATGCGTCTTTTAAAAACATCTAATATTAAACCCACCACTATTGAGCTCCATAGCTGAGTTCCATACTCAAGGATCTCATCCTGAGCATGGACCTAGTCTCCCCACATGAAGGCTCCTTCCTGTTCTTTCTTGTTTAGGAGACGGATGATCTTCCTGGTAGATCAGTATGTATTTCCAGACCACCAAAGGATGAACCCAAACCTTGTCAACTCTGGCATCCCAAAAAATCCACGTGCTCAGTGTGTGATTGGATATCCATCAGGTAGAGGGGGCTCTGCCAGAGGCGCAAGGGCCCAGGACTCCTGGGGCAGGAGGCGGCTTCACCAGCCCTGCACTGGTGGAGGGACCCTCCGGATGACACTCCTTTGTTGGTCACTGAGGAGTGTCGCTCAGGGCTGGAGGGAGGGGCTACTTGCAAGTGTGTACGTCAGTCATGCTTTCGCATCTCCTGCAGCGGACGTAGCAGCACCAGATGAACTTGCACTCGCACCTCTCCACGTGCCTGACCACGTGCGTGTTGTAGCCGCGGCCACAGCAAAGGAGGTTGCAGCCGTCCGCGCCCTCTGACGTGCGGTTGCACTCTCTGCCTTGCGTTCCTGGGATCCCTAGTTTCTTATCCTCTACACAGTAATTGGGAGACTTATTAATGTAGAGCAGATCATCTTTGCGGATGGGTATTTTCCTCTGGTCTTTTTCTCTCCTGCGTATTTTCCTCTTTATTTTCTCTGAGATTTGGACACTGTTTTCATATTTATCCTTCAACAAATGGCCAATCTTTTCAAAAGAAGACATGGTTTTCCAGCACGTTTTCACAGCGCAAGAGCCGGACACTCCGTGGCAGCGGCAGTCTACTGACATCAACTTGGCAACAGCCTGAAACCAACAGTAATTGCATTAAATGTCATTCATTAAGTGTTTTACCCAGTAACAGAAGCACAGCTGACCTCACTTTCTGGGTCTGTTCAGTCCTGTGTAAAAACAATAGTTTTGAACATAAAGGATCTTTTTTCTTTTTTTTTTTTTTTACAAATAGTTTATTGTCAAATTAGTTTCTACATAACACTCAGTGCTCATCCCCAAAGTGCCCTCCTTCATGCCCATCCCCCCTTCCCCCCCTAAAGGATCTTTTTTCAAAAACTTTAATGTTTTATTTATTTTTGAGACGGAGATGAAGACAGCATGAGCAGGGGAGGGTCAGAGAGAGGGGGAGACACAGAATCTAAAGACAGGCTCCGAGCTAGCTGTCAGCACAGAGCCCGACGCGGGCCTCAAACCCATGAACCATGAGATCATGACCTGAGCTGAAGTCAGCCGCTTTACTGACTGAACCACCCAGGTGCCCTAAACATAAAGGATCTTTACAACTGCTTCAGGGTTCCAGTGTTTTGTCCTTCTGACACTGCAGAGCAAATATTTCTAAGTCTAATTTAACATAGTGGACCAAGCTAATAGTGTTATCAAGGATTATCTGAGACAACCAAGGGAAACTATTTTTCTATTTTTTTGTTTGTTTAATTTTGGGCGTGAGAAGATGTTCGTGCATGCCTCCAGGTTCCTGATACCATTCAGCACCTTGCTACTCAAGAGTGTGGTTCACAGACCAGCAGCACCGACACCACTTGTGAGAAATGCAGATTCTCTGGCCCCACGCCAGTCCCACAGACTCAGGAACTGCATTTTAATGAGATTCTCAGGTGACTCGTGTGCACATTAAAATTTGAGAAGCACTGATAGGGCAGTCGTCATGGACTCACAAGTGCAGAAGGCATCTGAGGAACATTGCAAATAACAAATGCACTGATCACTGAGACTCTGACTGACTTGGCCAAGGTGAGGGCCAGGCAGCGGCACTTCCACAAAGCTGCCCAGAGGACTCTAACGGGCATCCAAGCCTGAGATCTATGGATTGAGAGTTCTCAGGTTTGATCACTGTAAAAGGCTATTCCGTTCGTGCGGGGTTGGGGGACCGTGGTATCCTCTGGTCACAGACCGCATGAGAAACCCTGACTAATCAACTTAAATTGGTCAAAGGGAGAAGGGGCTGGAGAGTGTGGTTGCTCCCAGCAAATTCTTCCCTTGTTCTGGAAAATTAATTCAAAACATACGTCCTATTCTTAATGGATCAGTAGCACTATCCTAATATAGAAAAGGGATAATATACATACGTAATTTTTCAATTGAAAGTGCTGAGTTTGGTTTATTCAGCCTGAGGAATCAAATGGAATTACATATATCTGTAAGAGCCCATTGGCTGGCACGCATTAAAATCTAAATAAATGCCCCCTCTCCCTGAAGAAGAAGGTCTGGGAAGAGACGAGAAAAAGTTTTAAATGGGACTCACCGTACAAAAGCAATAGAGAGATTTCAAGAATTTGGGGGTTCTAGTCTCTTACACAGCAGGCTAGTTAACACATTTCCTTTGGTCCCTAGAGGACGGCAGAGCAGATTAATAAATCTCCGGCACTAGCTGCAGCGCTGACGGTCTGTCAGCATGCTGGGTAAAATGAGAAATTGATCTGCCCATTCAATAACTTGGAAATTATGTGTGTCATCTCACCAAAGAAAGGAAAAACCTCACAGCTTAAATTCCACTTACAGTTCTTATCAAGACTCTAAAATGACAGGTTTTATACTAAACCTTGACGCTGACATGTCTGTGGAATGTTAGGTTTCCTAAAAAATTAAAGCTTCTGAACTATCTCATGAAACGGACTATTTCGGACCATTTATAATATTTGCAACCTTGAGTGAAAGCATATGGTATTGATTTGTGCAATATTCGATACTTATTAGTGTTGAAAATAATAAACAGATTAATATTTAAACCCTGTCCTTTATGGAATAGAGCGCATATGCTCTTTTTGAATTCATAAAACTGAGAAGCAAGTAGCTATGTCTATTTCTTACTCACTCAGGCAAAAGATAGCTTTCATTGATATGAAAGCAATTTATAAAGTGTGGTACACAAGCTTATTTGCTTAAATTTATGGCATTTGATATTCACAAGGACTTCTATTCTTTAAAATGTCTCCAGGCAAATAAATGTTCAACTTAATGCAATCTGCCTACTTTTGTTCAGATGTTAAGGGCTTGAAGGATATGAGAAAAAGAGAGCTCAGCTAATGCTAGGCAATAACAAAACAAATTGTCCAAAGAAAGCCAAAAATCTAAGAATGTCTGTTTATGTATTTAAACCTGATCAACATTCCTCACAGTCATCACTTAGTGATTTAAAGCTGCCTCTCGCTCAGGATCTTACTGAGGGGTGAACTCTTTGTTTCTTAACCAGTTCAGACATCATGTATGGTGTGGCCAGTTTGCAAAGCACAGAGGACAGAGTAGATGCTCACCAAATACTCATGGAATAGTTAGTCCAGCTCACTCAAACAGCTTTAACTCATTCTTTGTTGGTGCTCTGAATCTGAGGGAAGAACTGAAAATCTTAAACAAAGGAGTCACTGTCAGCAGAGTCAACAGAATGGAGAGGTCTTGACCCTGCGGAGCTTTCTTCCAATTCCTCAGCCTGCCACAGTGTTAGTCCGCAGAGTGACACATTACCTCCCAGCTTTGAAGGATAAAAGGAGAGACTGATTTTCAAACCTAATGATATCACCTGCTGAATTTGGGGGAGACTTTCTTGCTATAAAAAACTTATAATCTTTTAAATACCTGGAGTTAGTTATAACTTTTCAGAGATGATATTTTTAAGTTTTATTCGATTACCTTTCAATTTCATTATGTTTTTCTCCTTAACAGTAAGTATATATAGGATTTCTATCATATGTATATTTTATATTTATATTTTATCATAAATATTTTTATTATTTATATATATTTTGCCATATATACTACTCTATATATGTATATGTGTATAGATATGGATGATATAGATACAAATATAGTCTAGGATAGAAAGACAAATAAAATTTCATCAAGGTGAAGAATTCCAATAACTTGACATGAAATTTAAATGATTATATCCTCCAAAGAAAACTCGAAGAAACTTAGACTAATAGGGATTAAAATAAAGCAATGTAATTACCATTAGGAGAATTTGATGAAATGCAGAGTTGAGGGCAGATCACACACACACACACACACACACACACACACACAGAGTTTAACTGCAGAACTTAGTGTTACTCAGAGGACCTTTTCATAAATTATTTTACTTGGTGTAGTTTTACAGTAAGAAATGCCTTGCACACAGTAGGTAGTTAAGGAACATGTACTTACATATTATTTCAACTGTACAAAAGAATGAACAGCATGGTGAAGACACTTGATCTATATAAGGAAAGTTGGTGATATATGATGGAAAGCCTATATATGCAGCAGGAGAATTTTAGTAGAACAGAGAAAAATGAAAGTGGAGAATGGAGTGTATTTAAGGAAATGGCAGGAACACTCCCCCAAAAAAGTATATTCTGGAGCTTTTCAGCCAGGATTCTTAATTAATGTCAAATAGCCACGCTGAGCTATAGTGATAGCTGCCATTTTCTGCTAACAGGAAAAGTAAGTGAACAGCATTCGTATGAGTAGTATGTGGTTATGAGAAAATTCCTTTCTCTACTCTAGTTGAGTTGTTAAGGTTTATAACGATATTAACAGAGGAATGTTTTGTTAACTATTGCAAACAGATGTGCACATTTTGGTGGAATATTTTTCAACTATGGGAGAGCAATTAGGAGGGTAGCATTTAATTAACTGGCTCTTTGTGTTAAGTTTTAGTTTGGTGAACTTCTAATGAAGTGAAATAGGAAAGATGTATCATTAATACTTAATATAAAAATAGAAACTGCTTAAGAAGTGGTCTAAGGAGTGACTGGTCCCACAATTTTGATTCAGAGGTAACACAGCAGGCAATGATTGTTTTCCAGTATATTGCTTTATCCAAACTTCACAGAAATGACCAAAAAAAAAAAACAAAACAAAACAAAACAAAACTCAAACTATTGTGGAACATTTTGTTATGAACATTTCATTTTGTCAACTATCAGATGATCTGGTTAAGTTTTTAGGAAAACTGTGACATAAGGTTGGATGGTTGTATGTAGAATTCCTATTCCTCTGACCCATTTTGTCTCTTTCGGTCCAAAAATATATTTGAACCTGCTGAAAAGCAAAACACTTATGTGTTGTTCAAGTACGTATAAATATTCTTGAAACAGGTCAATGAAAATTTGGGGTTGGGCCCTTCCCACTTTTTTGAGTTACTCATCATAAAACAAATTATGGGGTAGGGAAACTTAAAAGTTTATGAGGTGGACATGGGAAGAATGGAAATATTTTAAGCACACCAAAAGAAATACCCATAAATATTCCAAGTCACATTATTCCCAGAAGTTCTGCCCCTGGAAGACATCACATCATTCTGTTAGCCAATCACCATTCAGCAACATTATTCTTGGAGTCATAACTTTAGGAATGGTGTCAGAAACCAAGTGGGAATCAGAGTATTTAAGGTCAGCGGTTAGAAAATCATCTATCCTGCTCACAGCACTACTAAGCGCCAGTACCCACAATTCTCTGAACGCTTTCCTACATTTTGAGTTTGGGATTTTGAGACAAGGAAAATCAACTCAATTGGATGCAGACCTTGAACTTTACTCAGAAGAATATGCCTATTAGATTAAAATCCTGATTGCCAATCTTAAAAATGGTGTTGACTGTTCTTCCATATTAGATAATAGCCTAGAAACCTGGTCGGTTTTTGTTGTTGTGGTGGTGGTGACTGTGGTGGTGGCTGTGGTGGTGGTGGTGGTGGGGTTTTTTTGGCTGCCAGTGGAAAGAAAAATACAAAATTGCTTTGAATTGTAATATTTCATGAAAACAGACCAACAAAAACACCAGTCCAGGTAATGTTTTGTAATATTTTAAGACTCTATCTAGACCAATGAGGAACAAAAAGACTCGACAGAGAAAACTCAAATGTACACAAAATGCATATGTACGTGTATATATATATACATATATATATGTATATATATGTATATAGGCTGACTTATTTTCTGCATGATTAGAATAATAGCAAAAACTTTTGTAATGTGAGAAGATTGTTTTTTTGCCAAAAGACAGTGGATTAAAATTGATGCTAAATAGTTGTATGTTTTTAATAAACTCAGAATATAAATACTAGTTGAAGATCAAATAGTTACTGAGGTAAATATTGCTACCTCATTAGAAACAACACACAAAACAGAGTAACACTAAATACCAGCCTAATAATACTAATAAAAACACAGAATACTGCGGAGCTTCTCAGAAGCTTAAGGATAACTTTATTCAAGGGAATTAATTATGACATGAATTTCCAAGTTTTGTTTTCTAGTGAAATTTTAAAAATCCCTACAAAATTATTTAAAGAACGATTAAATAAGATTTGAGCTCTAAATTGATAATCAATATTCATTTGTGTTTTTTTAAAGATATTAAATTGACTTAATGCATTTCCCATCCTAACTCTAGAGTTTTAAAAAATATTTTAAAAATATTAAAAAGTATTAAAAAGTATTAAAAAGTGTAAGCGTATATTTGATCTCTTATATTCGTATGTTAGAGGTAATTTTAAAAATCCTTTAGTGGGTAATGTTTAAATTGAAGCAGAACCTCATTTGTTTAATTTTTTAACATGGAAAACTTTAAGAAGAGAAATGTTCATAACTATGGTATCAGGCAAGAGTTACTTTAATACATTTTAAAATTTCTAAACAAAAATATGAAAAGCCTACCTAGCTATTTACTGACTTTCTTAGTATTTTGAATCAATATTCACAGTGAAATTAAAAATTCAAATTTGAATTGGAAGAGTCATGGTGATAATAACATTTATTGAGATTTCTGTTTTTGCATTATAAACCAGAATGGCTAAGTAAAGAAAGCTGGCGGAAACTTATACCTATTCTAAGTGGGTTCCATTTATTCACTTTCCAAAAAATGTAAAACAAATGTAACATATACTTTAAACATTTCTGACAGATACTGCAACTTGTTTTAATTTATTTCAGGAGAATGTGGCAGATTGCAGTGACTGCTTTGGGACCTTTATAGGTTATTGTATATTTACAATAATATAGGATATGTGCTAATATTCCTGTCCTAAAAGGATTATTACAACATAGAAAATGCATATTCATAAAAAGGTTTTGACTGTTTTAGGAAATTCACTATGAATTGCCAAGTAATTCAGCTATGTTATAGAACTCAAACTTTATTGTGTAAATATTCATTAAAATAAATATGTAAAAGTTAAATTAAGCTACAAATTTATTTCATTTTAAGAAAACTTAGTATAAAACACAGAATTCATAAAAGAGGTTAACTAGATGGTGGTTCTTCAAATTTAATAAAGATTAAATTCAATCTTTAATATGTATATATTTAAATATCCATACATTTAATATATCTATAGCTTCTTTACATTTATCTGCATTTATCATTTTTTACAATGAATCTATATCACTTTATAATAAAATAACTAATTCTCTTAAGAAACGCTCTGTTTTACCAAACTATTAGTTAAGAGTTATGTATTCTCTAATGTATTCAAGAATGTTTGCTAGAGAAAGTACAGACAAATTGATCACATGATGTTTAGAAGACATTGCCTACTAAAAATAGATTTCAAGAAATAATCAAAAGTCATATTTAAGATGGAATTTGATTCAGTACCATTAGAAAGGCAGATCCTATAGATCTCACTCTGGCTCTATCAACTAAGGGGACGGAACAAAAGTACCCAAAGGCATCTGCACATCTATTATGTTATAATTAGCGTTCCAGGTAGACACAGTATAAAATCACCAATACCTCCTATAATAAATTTCAACCCCTATCTGATGGAGAACTTAAACTAAATCGATGTAGAAGTCATACATATTGTTTATGTATACAATAAACACACACATATATTTTACATATAGATAACATATATGTTTCTGCCAATGTAAGTTTTTAAAATCATTTGGACACATTCACTCAGAAGCGTCATCTCAGTGTTATTTAAAGGCACTACATTGCATTCCACTTTCTGATACATACCTGCCTTCCGGCTTCATTGTTGTGTAGGTGCATTGCTAACAGTACTTTGCTTTCTTTTCCTGTGGTGTTTCTGATGGGGGAGTCTAGAAACTTTCTGCTGAACCACATGCCATACTGGACATCATCGGAGCAGCCCCCCCAGTGCCAGCCTTCACTAGCTGAGCCGCCATTCTGCAAGGTGGTGTCACAGGAGCACTCGGTCATGTTGCCTGCACTGCATGACCTGGTCACAGAATGCACCAGGCCTGCAGCCATCACGGCATAAATAAATGCTGTTTCCTTGGTGCCTAGAACAAAACATAAATTGCTGAATGGAAGAGCCATACCTCCCGTCTGTTTATGTTCACAACAAAGCCTACTGCCTACCCTCTTAGCAGGAAAGTGATTTTGCAATTGCTTTCAATGGATGCTTTAACGAGTACATATTTAGAAAGGACAATTTCGCATTGTTTTAGTCTTATAAAAAAGCAACATTAATTTTCAGTATTCCACTTGGGGAGATTTTTATGTACTGTATAGCATAAATTGCCCTCATGACAATTAGAATCATCTGTTTATTTTTAAAATTTGAAAGTATGCCAGCACCTAGCTCAGAGCTTAATAGACAATAAAAGTTCAATAAGTACAAATTGAATTTAAAATCCTTTGCGTGGATACAGTAAACGGTAATACAATGCTCAAAGAGTCCAGATTCTCTTTATTTTTACATTTCAAATGTGTTCTCACAAAACACAAGCTGAAAAATTTGGTGTGAGTTTTGTTTGTATAAATAGTACACTTCGGAATGCAAATTAAAATTAAGCAAAGGCCAAAGCAATCAGTAGATGTTACAGTTTACTTTCACATCAAAGACTGGTCTTTTTTTTTTCTTTTTCAAGGATATCATAAATAACAATCACTGATATTAATATGGAACAGTTAAGTATTTTATATAGTGCTAGCTAATCCTTTTACAGTCTTAAAAGCAATGAAAGTCACAAGCAAAGAAATGAAATGTCACCAGCGAAGGGGAAAAAAAAGAATTGTTATAAAAAACTACTGAGTATATATTTTAGCACATCTGCAATAGAGTTTGAACTCAAATCTTTGAAAATTAAAGTCCCAATAAAGCATTAGTAAAATGGGCTAGAAGAGACTCAACAGGTGACCTTTTTTTCTTATGAGATGTTAAGATTGGAGTAGAAATAGTTGCATGTCGGTTGTCCAATAAACCTTTTCAACAGCTGATGCCCCTGGATTTCAGCAACTAAAGCATTTCTTCTTCTTCTTCTTCTTCTTCTTCTTCTTCTTCTTCTTCTTCTTCTTCTTCCTCCCCTTTCCTCCCTCCTTCTTCCTTCCTTCCTTCCTTCTTCCTCCTTCCTTCCTTCCTTCCTTCCTTCCTTCCTTCCTTCCTTCCTTCCCTCCCTCCCTCCCTCCCTCCTTCCTTCCTTCTTCCTCCTTCATTTTTCTCCCTCCTTCTTTTTTCCCCTTCTTCCTTCTTTTTTCTTCCGCAGGGGATCAGGGCTCCTTCGGAAGGGCGTGCCAGCCGAAACGCGGCGCGGCACACGCAATACTTAGGCGGCGATGCGTGTAGGGACCCGGTGGAGAAGGGTCAAAGGCGGAGGGAGAACGGAAATGAATGTGAAAAACAACGAGTCTTTCAGCGCGCAGGTTCTCAAATTCTTTGATTCTGCTGATCTTCCTAGAACAATCCTGGTTCCCTGAGCCTTTCTCCCTACGGGGTCACTGGGCACGTGTAAGTGGAACTTTGCTTGACTGCAGCTTCCCGCGCCGCGGGCGTGCTCTCCGGGGGCAGATATAAAAGGAAAGGAGAAGGGAGCGGAGAGCCAAAGCAGTCGCGCGCGGGCTGGCCGCACGTTGAGCTGTCCAGGACATTCCCTTCCACAACCACCATTATTCTGGCTGCCCCGCGCTCCGAGGCGCCAACAAACGTGGGGCTTCGCTGCAAGCAGCCCCTTGTCCAGGGCTCGGTGCGCCGCGGAGCTCTTAAATCAAAGCAGATGCGGCGGCAGCATTCCCTGCTGCAGACATCATGTTTCTCCAGCTGGTCACCCACGTAGGGGGGCGCTACGGGGTCCGAGGGGTCGGCGGGGTGGAGTGTCGGAGTTTTTCTGCAACTCCCGCCGGGCGCCGCGGGACGGAGGAAGAGCTACAGCTCCTGGCGCCCCATTCTGGACCTGGGGAGTCACCCCCCTCCAGGTCCGCACCTGCACCTGGGCCTGGTTTCCGTCACCCCCCCAACCCCCCCTCCCCCATGTCTCGTCCACTAACGGACCACTTTTGGGATCTAGAGAGCGACGGACCACGAGAGCACCCCTTTATTCACTGAGTTTGGAGGGGCTGTCGCCCTCCCTCCTGCGCCGTCCCCGAGGGCCCGCGACTTACCGCTGTTCAGCTCGTAGCCAAAGAGGGGGCTGGCGCCCGGCTGGGCGGCGGCGGTGACCAGGCAGTTCCATCTCTCGTGTCTGAACTGGCTCCTGCACTCCTGAATGCCCAGCCGCGCGCCCTCGCCGATGCTCGGCAGCAGGTACGGCTTCCTCCTGCACAGCTCCTTCTGGCGGCTGTTCAGCGGCAGGTTGGCGCAGCCCAGCTTCTCCGGGACCCCAAAGGAGGCGATGCCCAGCCACCTGTGAGACACCGCCGCCCCTGGCGTGAGCCGCTCCCCGCCGCTGCTCTGCGATCCCACAGGTTTTGCCAAATCTTGGGTCATCCGCCCTGGGGTCCCCGGCCCTGCTCCCCCGCGTCAGCTCAGACTTCCCCGACGCTGGGCGCCCCTTCTGCCACAACCCCCGCGCTGCCCCCATACTCACATCCAGTTTTCCTGGGCTCCGCAGGGGAAGAGCGCGAGCAGGGCTGCCCACAGCGCGCACAGGCGGGACAGTCCCAGGAGCGCCGCTCTGTCCATGGCCCCAGCATGGAGTCCCCCAGCCGCAGCCACTGCACGTCTGCCCTCGCTTCCCAGAGGCCCGCCAGGCCCGAGGTCAGTTCCCCAGCGCCAAGCGGTCCCTCGCCCCCTGTCTCCCGGTAGACAACATAGAAAGAAGGCCCGCGGGGGTAGGGGCTCCCAGCAGCCTTCCCCTCGCGTGCAGGGAGCCGTTGAAAGGAGGTGGAGAAAGTAGCTTGGGGCCCTGCTCCCTCCCGCGCGGAGCCGGAGGTGTGCAGAGGTGCGGGAGCGCCCCACGCTGCGATAGGTGAGAAACTTCTGCGGATGCAGCTGTCTCCATCGCCCCCGGCCTCTCCTCCCACCGCCTCCCCCCGGGCCGCGCCTGGAGCCTGATTGGCCCAGCCTCGGCCCCGCATCGCCTCGGCCCCGGACCTCAAGCTCCCATTGGCTGCGAGCGGGCTCCGCGGGGGGCGCTCGGGCCCGCTGCTCGCGGACCGCGCGTCCAGACCCGGGTGTGTCCGTGACCTTTCCTCCCGTCACAGTCATCTCAGAGCGGGTCTCTGCGGGAGGGGTATTGATCCAACCCGAAGGCTGCGAGGGCCGCTTCTGTCTTAGCAACCCTGGGGGAAGGCGTGGGTCGCATGGGAGACGTTTGAGTTCCACCCACCCCACTCGCATTTGGATTAATTACCCTCTGGGTGGAGTGGCTGGAAAACCTCACTGCCCCCGTTTCTTTCCTCTCCTTCACCTCACAGGAGGGTAATCTTTTTGAGTCAGAGTTGGTACCAAACAAGTTGACCTTTCAACACTCCCGCTTGAGGTCTCAACGTGTCAGGAGACTTCAGATGGGTGACATGCTGTTAGGCTTGAGGTCGTCGTCATTTAAATAGACATTTATTTTTAGCCAAAGAGAAGTTTCTGGCCTCGTATCTAATCTACCGTATTTACGTGGTGTTATGTGATTTCGTTTTCCCAGTGTGTCTCCTTTCCTGCAGTCTTTGAGAGCATTGTGAGAAGACGGAGGGCAGAGACAGAATGTGCAAGAGAGCTTCTGGGGAGCACCAGAGTAGATGAAGGCTGTGTCCATACCCTCATTGCCATTCCGTGTTGTGGCTCACGTGGAGACCTTGGACAAGGCTACACGTTGAAGACACACTTTAAAAACTTACTTATTAAATGCTTAATGTTTGCCCAGTACTGTGGGAATTTATAAATAATACTGCTTCCGTCAAGTTCACACACCAGCCCCAGAGACAAACCTAAAGCAAAAGAATTGGAGATTTCAATGAAGGAGAGTATACAGTCCAGTGAGGTACTCTATGGAGCCAAAGAGAGTTGGGAAGCCAGAGAATGTATGGTGCCTGGCAGTTTAGGGAGGTTTGTTAACCGGGGATTTTCAGGATAGAAGACCTCTGGGGGAGCCGTGAAGGCAGCTGGACGCATTCAGCTGTGGTATCCGACAGTCCTGCCTCACCTCGTTGGTGACATGAAATGTTGCTGAGAGGTGTCACCTGCTCTCCAGAGGACTTCTGAAATGGTAGGGAATTCTCAGGGGGGACATACCAGCTTGGTGGATGCCCAAATCCAAACGTACTCAGATAAAAGATTGGCTTTCCTTCGCTTTGTCCTCAAATAAAGGATTTTATTTGCCACATTTCTCCTCCATCAGCCCTGAGCAATAAAAGCTCACTGAAATTCCCATCCCATCCCATTCATGCCTTTATCCAACAAATATTTGTTGAGTGAACGCTATGTACCAGGTCCTAAAGCCACATTGTAATTTTTAGAGAGTCAAGTTGATGATAGGGTGTAGTTACTGATCCAGACATATTTTGGCTAATGGCTAGTGGCCTCTCTCAAAATCAGAGCCTTCATCCAAGCTCACTTTATTCTGTGAGCCTCTCCAGGCGGATCATGGAGCATTCTCTTTTATATCCCCACCATTGGGCGCAGTGCATGAAGTCTTGGTTTTGAACAGAATTTATTGAGTGGATTTACATGATGAGCAACACCCTGAACACATACCTAAGTGGTCTAAATGATGAAATAAGAGAAGTGACTTCCTTTTCGGGGGGGAATGGAGGAGGAGAGAATATTAATACTTAGGGATTATTCTGTCCATACCTCTAAAGCAGAGGGAATTTATTTCCACCAGCTGATGGAGCTGAAGAAATACACCTTTCATTCAATGAACAGACACTTGAGTGCCTTTTTTTTTTTTTTTTTTGGCCAGGCATTGTGAACCTGCATGCATGGCGAGCCTCATGAGTGCTTCTAGTATTCAACTCTTACTCTCACTCTGTCTTTTTCTTCTCTCTCTCTTTCCACACAAAATTTCAACCCTTCCAAATTGATACTCATTTTATAGATTAAAAATGAATTTGGAGCTTGCTCAAGGTCACTTAAGTAATAGAGTCAAAAATCCATTTTATTGTAGACGCCTGGTTCTTTCCATCTCAATATACTGCTGCATAACCTAACTCACAACTTTTTTTTTTTCCTGGTTAAATCCCATATCGCTGGGCCTCGGGGGCTAAAATTCTCCTTTGTGTCCCATAGTTCTTCATATCACAGTTCACAGATATTTCCATCTGAAGAGTTGGTCTATCCTCTGAAGATACGACCCATGATGGGTTGCCTTGAAGTGGCTCTCACTGAGGCAGATGCCCGTCTACACGGACATCCTGCCACTTGCCTGCTCGCGTCACTGTCTGGTTTCTGCGGGCTGGGCAGAGCAGTGGGGAGAGCAATGGGTGAGTTGGTGACTGAGGCGCCAGTCAGCCAGTTATATTCTTAGGCAATCATTTCAACATTGGGCCTCAGTTTTCTCACTTTTAAGATTATAAAAATCTCTCTTTCAGATCTGAATCTCCTACTAGTGTTCCGATAGGGCTGGAGGGGGGGAAGTGGTGTGAGTATGTGTGTGTGGGGGTGGGGTGGGGGGGGTGGGGGAGACTGCATTTGCTAGTGGGTTTGTAACCTTGGGAGGAGGAAGCCTTAGTTATTGACAAGGGCGTGTCTACCTGAGTGATGGCCCAGTTTCCAGGGTAACACAGGTTAGTATGTTTGGGCCCCCATCCTGCGTCTCCAGTTCTACTTTGGCTTCTGAGTTTCAATTAAAATTAATTCTTTTAATTGCAAAAATCTTTTTAAATGGTTGAATTTTAGGGGCACCTGGGTGGCTCAGTCAGTTAAGAGACTAACTTCAGCCCAGGTCATGATCTCACGGTTCCTGGGCTCAAGCCCCGTATCAGGCTCTGTGCTGACAGCTCAGAGCCTGGAACCTGCTTCAGGTTCTGCATCTCCCTCTCTCTGCCCCTCCCCTGCCCCTCTTCTGTCTCTTACAAAACATAAATAAATATTAAAAAAATTTTTTTTAAATCGTTGAGCTTTAAAATACATTGTAATCTAGGGGCATTTGGATGGCTCAGTCAATTGAATGTTTGACTCAGATTATGATTTCCCAGTTCACAAGTTCGAGCCCTGCGTCAGGCTCTGTGCTGACAACTCAGAGCCTGGAGCCTGCTTCAGATTCTGTCTCCAGCTTTCTCTGCCCTTCCTCTGCTTGTGTTCTGTCTCTCTGTCTCTAAAATAAATAAATGTTAAGAAAAAATTAAAAGTATATTTAAAATTAAAAAAATAAAAATAAAATGCATTCTAATGTTATCATGCCATATGAAATTTTATTTATCTTTTTAAAAATTTTTTAGAGAGAGCACATGTGTGCATACAAGTGGGGGAGGGGCAGTGGGAGAGAGAGAGAGAGAGAGAGAGAGGGAGAGAAAGACTCTTAAGCAGGCGCCACACTAGCATGCAGCCCCATGCCCACTGGGAGATCATGACCTGAGCCGAAAGCAAGAGTCGGATGCTCAACTGACTGAGCCACCCAGGTGCTCTAATACGAAAAATTTTTTTGAGGATAAAGTTACAGATATTTTATTTATTCTGGAATGTGAATGTGAGGAATTCTTTTATAATCTAATTTATATCTCTAATAGAATATGGCTCAGGTCTCCTACCATTGATGGGGATTATACTATTTAGAGAGAAAAATAAAGTAAACGATGGGTCAAATCCAAACATACACATAACTACACATTTCAGATTGTAAATTTTTTAGGGAGCAACTAGGAGCCTTGGTTCCTATTGATTGTTTACAATTTCATAATTTGGAGAAAGGACACACTATTAACGAGCCAGTAGAATATGACCTGAGGTTTCACTGTGTTATGCAAACTTTCTCAGCTTCAGGTACCCATATCTGTAAAATGTTGCAAAGATTTTATCATTCACTGTTCATAAATCCAGACTTAGACTATGTCATCTCATGATCTGAACCCAACTACCTAAAATCTGATTAACACTAACAAAAGCACCACGTGACTCCAAGTTTGCACAGGTTATTGAAGCATCTATGTGGTCTTGATTCCATAAGGAGGATGTGTATTTGAACCCATTTTCCTAGCAGAGGTCAGGACTTTTGAGCTGTATTCTGGAAGAGGATGTTTAGGAGGAGGAAAGCCAGATTTCTAGCATATTCATTCACTCAAAAGAGCTCTCTCAAGGGACTGAATCTGTCGTGACCGGGGTCATCTTTGACCAGCCAGGCCAACTGAACCAGATAAGTAGTTGGCTGGCAATAAATGCCACTGCCCACTCAGGACTCTTGCAGATTATTCATTGCGGCACCGAGAGGAGCCTGTTCCTTCTGGTAGTTTTCTCTTAGTCCCTGGGAAACTCAGCAAAAAGTCTGCCTGCACAGATATGCCTTGGACTCTGCCTCTGGCAATCCATCAGAGAACGAGACTTCTAAGGGCCCTGTTGTAAGAATTTCTGCTCAGATCACAGAGACTTATGCACTGGAAACTGATACCAGAAGCACCCCAGCTGGTCCTAACTCCCATGATAGAACAGAAGAGCAGAGGTGACTTTTTACATAACTGGGTCCCCATCCATTCTATTTTAAATTCCACCTGGATGCTCCCAGTGTGGAGCAGAGCAGGGGCCTGGGAATACTGGCT